GATAGGAGATATTTGTAGGTCTATCTAGCAGCTAAAGTTTAAGCAAACCCAAAATATTTCTAAAGTTTCATATTAGATTCAGAGTTTGAGGGGTTTCATTGTCAGTACCGTTGGTTCTCGGAATTCACGCTGTTTTGGGTTCAAATAAATCAAAAGACGATTGTAGCTAGTAATGCTTAATAATAACGTGACGGACGCATAAGATAGGGTGGAAGAAGTGTTACTAGAAAAAACGTAGCAACAAACAAGACTAATTCTACCTGAACAATAGGTATCAACACTTGATAAAACCCAATTATCACAACAGGAAAAATATTCCCATCAATCAAGGAACAATATTTTACCAAAAGATAAGGGACTGGGTAAGTCATTTCGCCCTGAAGGTAGCCAGTTAATTATAAAATGAGAATTATCTATGAATTTCTAAGACTACACAATTAATTACCAGTTATCAACAGCAGACTACTCCAACAAACAGGCAATGCGCTTCAATATTAGTAACTGAGAACAGGACAATGGACGATGCACTATAAGCCAACCTGTCTGGATGTCATTTTAAAAACATTTAGCTCTTTGAGGAATAAATAACTTAGGTCCTCCATGATTAACACCCTACAAACTGTCTCCACAGAGTGTGATCTAGGACTATCAACCAAAGAGAGCTTGGACACCAGCTCAAACTACATAAAGGACGTAACCAAATCAAATGCCACTCCTTATGTTTTGTCAATACAGCTCGGGGACACTATCCCAGAATTATTTCCGACGCTTTTAAACGTATCCACGGCCTCACCTTGACGTCCATGAGGTTGTTGGGCCCTCTCACCTCAAAAGAGACCAAATACAAAGACGTTCAAGAAATTGGGCTATACGACTGCGAAATAAATCTGGTGAAGATAGACCACGTAATTTGTGATTATTATTGCGGGTTTTAGAGAATAAGATGTGATCTGAGAATAGTGCATAACATGCTGGGTGAGTCAAGTCACCTTAGTAAAAACATCCTTCCAGAACCAAACAACCGCGCTTTACTAGGCGACCCCCAAAAGAGTGAAAACTCATGTACGACCACATTTCATATTAGGAGTTGCTTTTATATATGATGTTATGCCAGACAAAATGGCCACAGCCCTTTCGGTGATTAGTTTTAGCAGACTTCATAAACACGTACCCACTTATGGATTGCTATCTCCAACATGCACTAGCCGTACCTGAAGCGTCTTATAAACTATATACTGTCGTCACTATAACAAACCATCAACTTATTTCTATCTTGTTCATTGCTATCTCCACTTACCATTTATTCTTACACTTCAGTTTGATCCCACTGTTTGCATTATTAATTAGTAAATTTATATATTTATTAATTTACGTTTTCATACAGTCATCTCTCCTAAGCCTTTCTGTATTCGAAGTTTTTCTTTATTATTTTTCATGTGAAAACCTACCTAGTAATGTAATAACTATTGGTTCCAGAAACCCTACTACCTTAAGACAAGCACATTCAATCAGGTTCACTCGTTTACATTTAACCACATTGTTTTAGATCTCTTTTTTAACAATCTTTGGGTAATCTTGATCAAGTGTTATAATTTACAAACAAAAATTTTTAATGTCTGAAAAAATACTTTGTTTTCCTAATTATTACAATTTAATAATCCAAAATAAGTATATCAATATTCTCAACATAATAAGCGGATTTCTAAAAGCTGAAAAGTAGTATTGTAGTGAACAGAACATAGATGGGGACAATTGAATTATTTAGCACAAAATTAGAAAGTTGCTTGGTAAAATAAAAAAACCATACTATAATACTTAATTTGCAAAATGTTCAATAATCGTCTCGAACTTCATTGTTCTTGCATTTCCATACTAATTGCTTTCTATTCCCGCTCTTCCTTTTTTGATCTTCCCCATCTTCCGCTGCCAGACATTACATTCCTAACTTGCGTCATATACTACTTATATCAATATAATTAGCACGCACCATAGTATCATACTCAAAGTTAAAAACATTGCCAAGTACTTGTAGATTCAATCGGTTAATATTAAATATAAAAATAAGACATAAACTAACAAAATCAATCTTTTTATGATCTTTGTGAGAATAATTCTCAAACGTTATGCGTACAAAGAATTATAAAATGATTTACGAATCAATGAATCTATCTGTCAGTTTAGAGAACTTAACTTACCGTTTATTTACAAGGATATTTTTAAAAAATTCCGAAAATCTACCATGTTTCAAGGTTGACTAACTGTAATGTCATTAAATATCTTGTAATACTCTTAAATGTAAAGATGGAATATAGAATATGTTCCATTTCTTAAAACTAAGAAAATCTATAGCAAGGATAAAACTTTCCATTCTTAATCAGGCCTACAAACATATATAATACTGTTACGTCCCAAGAAACATAATGAATGGTAACTTTGGGATCCTTTTATGGACCAATACTAAACGTATATTTTTATCGTATAATTGTTAAGTAACTAAACTATTCATATTTATATTCCTTTTATTATAAACTTTATTTTCACCTATGAACCATTATTATACGTTTTACGATTCTTGAATTATGCCCTATCTATTAGTCACTGCCTCCAACATTCACAGCCACGTTTGGCCAAATTTTGTACAAATGTTATTTTCTATTTTATGCTACGTTGTGGTCTGTTTGATTGGTATATAAACTCAGTATGTTTGAAATATAAGGATTCATATTGCAGAGGCTGAGACTGGTGTTCTGGACTTAACTGGATGGGCTAGGCGGAAAGCAGGACCAATCAGGACTCTAGACTGCTCGAAGGTGTTTTACGCGTCCTTGGTCCGATCGATAATTCGCTGATTCTGATTGGCAGCTTTGGGCTATAACAAATACAAACTAAATAAGTTTATTACCATCTTCATAGCTGTTTGCACTTGATTGCGGACTGTTAATAAAATCACCTCTGCTAATTTTATATATATTTGTTTTAAGCTTTATATTTAAAGTTAGGTTCATCAATCTCAATAACCTGTTGCATATTATTCAGTTTGTATCATGTAAGTGATGAGAACTTTGTCAATTAAAGTCTACGACTATTTTTACAGGTTACGTTTGTTTAAGCTTCAAATTTAAATTTGTCTCATACCTATATTGACAAGTTATTTAATAGCTTTTCAGATTAACTTTTCATTAAAGACAATGAGCATACATATGTATATGAGTACGGTAATGTAGCTATGAGTAATTCCTCAAAAGAAGTAGATTCGTAAGCATCTAACACTAATACTGATCGTTTCAGTTTTAATAGACACATTACTAGTTGAAGGCTCTCAGTCAAGCATCCGTACTAGGCCACTTATCATTTCGTCGTGAAATCCGTCTTTTCCGGTGGCTAGCCAACTTAATAGTCGGATATTGATTTACCTGCTTATGCAATGAAATGCAAATGTCTATTCTACAATAACCCCTTCTTCTTCCATTGATTTGAAGATTATTTCGTTCGAAGAAACTCGGTCACTGGTATTATCAAATTCTGTCATATCTGAATCCTCTTAAGAGACTATATAAGTGTGTGTTCTTGGATAATATAAAATGTGATAAATAAAAGCGGACCAAAAACTTTACATAATATATTTTTTTGATTAATTTTTTGAAACATACCAAGTAATATATTCTTGAAAAAAATTCGAAATGCTGGTAACAGAAACAGTAAGAAAAACAAACGAAAAAACAGTAGTAAAGAAGCACAAGAAGTTGATCATTCAACATTGTACACTGTGGCATAACGTGCATTTACTTACAAGAAAAAACAGTTAAATCTTTAACTTTAGCTACTATTATTATTATTATTAGCTGTTCCTCTATTATGTTCCCATTTACTGTTTACCTGCCTCCCCGGTCTTCTTCTTAACTTTTTTTAATACTAGTAATATTCTCTGAAACAGTACTGTCTTAGTTAACAGTTAGTCACTAACACGAAAGACAAATCGATACAACGAAAGAATCTTGTTCTTTTTATGCTTTTTTTAGGATCAACTTTGGTCTAAAGCAGCAGAGATGATAAAAATGATCATTCTAATTAAAGAAATACCATCATAGTTATACATACAAATTGTGTGTAAGTCTACATTTTGTAACTTTCTCAGGCACTCATCATCATTAATGTCATTATAATTACCGTCGAGTCATTTTTTTACAGACAAGGGAAAAAAACAGAAAGAAAATTTACATCCATGAAAAAAATATAAACAAATAGACAAAAATTCAACAGACAATTGAATAAAAAATCACTGTGAACAAATAAATAAATTTGAGTTCCTTTTAATGTATATTTTGGAAAAATAGGCAGAGGTAAGAAACAAAGAAACGGACATTGAAAACATACAATTATCATCGTTATCATTAATAACAATAATAATAGTAATAGTAATAATAATAATAACAATAGTGTTTACTAATAAGCATTGATCATTGTTAATAGTTTGTCTTGTTTTAGTCTTCTAGAAAAAAAATGCGGGAAAAAAACCGATTACACAAAAATAGTTTCGAATTAATAAACTGTACAAAATGTAAACAGAAATTTGGGGGGGGGGGAGTTGAATTAATCATTTGTTTCCTTTAATAACTTGAACTGATATATATATAGTTACATTAATACCTGAGTTAGTTTAAATGCATTAGGATTCAATGTATCAATTCATGTTTTAATGTGTGTGTGTGTGTAAAATAGAAAAAAAACTAACAAACAAATAAATAAACAAACAAACTTACAAAACAAAAAACCAAATAAAATGACTACAAACAAATGAACGATTAAAATAGAATTTGGGCATTACAGATAAACAAACATTGAATTAGAAGAGATATAGTAGTAAGACAAGAAGAAGAGAAAATTGTATACTGTTTTCCTGATCAAACATTATTGATTTTTTTTCTTAGTAACAAATGATTAACATGATGTAAAATGCATATTGATAGTTAGTGAAATATCAGGTTAGATAATATATATGTTTATATTTATATAGACTGAATAATGTTGTTAGTTTATTTTGATTTTGTTGAAATGAAAGAAAAATGAAAATATAATATTCATTCATAATTTATCAATAGATTACCCGGTTAATTGATCTACAGAATTAGAGAATGTTATATTACATGGTGATGATGATGTATGCAAATCATCATCCTCATCATCATCTTTTTCATGAACTTCATTTCTCTCCTCTATACAATAACCATTCAATTTGATTTCTGATTGATCATTGATATTGTTCAATACAGGATTACTATCATTATTAATATTATTATTATCATTGTCTATAATGGATGAAACAGTATGTAATTCTTGTGATTTAATATTTGTCATTTGTATTGTTTCATTTATTGATTGTTCACTGATGTTTTCATCTTCATTCTTATCCAACTCATTACACATATTATTATTACTAGCGTTATTATTATTGTTAGTGGCTTTATTATCTGAAAGAATAGTCAATGGGTCAGTAGTAGTTTGCTTTATCATTAAATCTATCCCATTATGTTTTTTCATTGATAAACAATGAGTAAAATGTTCTAAAAATAATAAAGAATTATTTAAATTTACACCACATAGAAAACATTCAAATTTTTTACTACTATTATCTACTGACGGTGATACTGATGTTGCTGCTGATCCTGCTGCTGCTGCTGTTGATGATCCTGATGATGAAGATGATGATGATGACGACTGGTCATTTAAATTTCCATGCATACTACTTAAATGATAAGTTGCCATTTTCTCATCTAAATAGTATGTTTGACAATCAATACAACCATATATTTTACCAAGTGAATGTAATTTTTCTAATAATAATTTAATTTCATAATTAGTTAATATTGTCCAATCAAAATTTGACAAAAGTGTTGCGGTTTGATTTTGAATATTCAATGATGGACCGACATGAATAATTTGTTGTTGTTGTTTAAAAGGATTAGAAGCGTTACTAGATAAAAGAAGTAAACAAGAAAACAATAATTAAAAAAAATCAAGATTCATGTATTATTGATTTAATAGGTTACATGTTATTTGTTATCTATAATTATCAATGAAATAATAAATTATTTCATTGAATCAAAGTCATTTCAATGAGAAATTTATATTTAAGAAAACAAACAAATAATGATCAAAGTATCATTTTAAACATCAACAACAATAGACTTAAAATAGAATTTGAATGAGCTGTTCCGCACTAATTTTCTCTCTCAAAATAATCATTGAATCTTAATTAAATTGTAGGAGTAATCATTCAGTTCAATAATTAAACAATGATTATATGGTGGTTGGAGGTAGTCGACAGGAAACCCTGAACCCGGGTTTCGTGCTACTTGGTACTCGTCAGCAAGGTGTACCTGTAATCTTGGGGGAACTGGTGCTCCCTGGCGGATCCGATCTCGTGTCACCCAGCTTCACAGTCAGAGACGTTATCACTGAGCTATCCGAGCTGCGACCGACCTCCTGTAGGACTGAGATGTAATCACAATTGTTTGATTGATTGATTGATATAATCTCAGTATATAGTGCCCGCAATATCGAGTCACCTAGACTGGTGGCCACATTGCAACATGGTCGATAGCATTCGATCTGCACTAATAAGGACTAGACACACATGACATTGATCACCACCCAGTGATCAATCAATTGTGAAACAATTATTATTATTATTATAAATCTTGTTATTATCACATATTTTCATTCAAATGCACTGATATTGTCTTTTATTCAAACAAATCATTTTAATTAACAGAAAACTATATTTGTTTTTAAATACCACAATGAATGTGATAAGACTATAATTTATGAATGACATTTGAGTAACATTAAAATGACTTTGGAATATTCACCTACTTTATAACAGTTAAATTAGGATTATAGATTAAGTGTAAAGAATAAGGATTAGGATTTACAATTGAATGCTAGGGTTAAAGATTAGATTTAATATTTTCATCACGAACTGACATTAGCTATAATAATAAAATGATATTTAACCAAATGAATGAATTACGTAACAAAATTCAGGATCTGTTATCTTAAATATGATTAGTTCGTTCATAAATTATAGTCTCGTCAAATTATTATGCTTTTAATAATATTAATAATCAATACTATTTTCAAATTGAAAAAAAAGTAGTATAAACTGAAGTTTTGATTCAAGGAAAAAAAAATTAATCCAGTGCTTCTAGGTTTTCCATGGTGGTCTAGCTCCAACTGACTCATGATCTTAACCATTGAAATTACTATAATATCCACAAAATCCATCTGATATTAATCAACATATGCTCACTAGTGACTGGCTCCAAGAGGTATATCCTGGAGTTCTAGTGAAAAGTAGTGACCAGTGGAGTTCAACCAGGTCTATTGTGAGATAGTAACTCACTGAAGACAATGGTGGATGTGTCGCTCAATTTCGTGGATTACTTGAAGTTAGACATTAACACCGTTGGATGCCGGCTCAGTAATCTAGTGGCTAAGAGCTCGCGCGCGAAACCAGTAGGTCCTGAGTTCGAATCTCACAGGGGGCAAGGTCGTGGATGCGCACTTCTGAGGAGTCCCACAATACGACGAAACGGCTGTCCAGTGCTTCCAGGTTTTCCATGGTGGTCTAGCTTCAATTGACTCATGATCTCAACCATTGAAATTACTATAATATTCACAAAACCCATTTGAAATTAATCTTTAATTTAACGATTCATATAAATCAAATCTAATAATGTGAAAACTATCGTAGAAACTCATCAACTCTCTAATAAAGAGAATTTTTGTTTAAACTTTTGTAACTGGGTTCTACATTAAGTATTATGTAATATGTACGCATGTGTATAATTTGAAGATTAAAGTAGTTCACGATATTCATTTGATGAAGAGTAATTTTCAACATTTTAAAGTATAAATTAAGATTTTATACTGAACCTCAAATGGATATGTTTTTTAGTGAAGAGATTTTTCAGAGGCCTGTTAAATTTTTAAAGTCTATATGATATGTTAGTTGGTTAATTAGTTAAACTATCACTGAATATCTGAAAGAATTGAATAACTGTTATGATTGCTGTTTTTTTCGTATAAAGGTCATTATTATTCTATTTCTTCATCAAATAATTCAATTAAGATTTAGACATATAATCTGTTATAATACAGATTCTATTTAGAAATAATAAAGAAAACTGGAAACCCAGGAACTCAGTTAAACAGGCACATATACACAAACATTTTCATAAATATTTCCTTATTAAATTAAATTAAATAATTAGTAGATGAGTTAACAGCATCAACCTCTCACTAATAGATCTAATCAAAGAATTATAATTCATTAATAGGATACAAACGAAGTATTTACACATTAAAATATGTAAGTTAATCATACAAATTGAAAAAGAAACACTAGCAAATTAATCATACCTTTCTTGTTTCGTTGTCACCATTGACGGAAGTGCTGTCTTATTTAACAATGAACAATTTCCTTCTTCCAATTTCATATTACTATTTTCCCATATTTGTGATTTTTCCGAATTCTTTATAAATAAAATAAGAAAAAAAACAATTCTTAGTTAAAACTTATACAAATAACAGTTAATTGCTTAAAAGAAACAAAAAAGTCTTCGTACAATGATTTTATTATCATTATTATATTATATCGTATCCATGTATTTAAATGGCACCAAATATTTTTAGAGGCGATTATTTTATTTAGTCAGGTTACATACACTAAAATGAGCATTCACTCTATCAAGTGAAAGTAGAATGGAAAAAAGAGTTTACAAAAGTAAGAATTCTTCCATTCATGTAATTTGACCACCAAAATTACATTTAAAATATTTAGCTACTGACTAATTTATAAGTAGTAAACTCAAATGACGACAATTTATTGGGCAGAGATATCTGCTGATATGAAATGCTATAAGTATTGCGAAAACGATAGAAATTATCATTGGACATATACTTCTTGGAAATTTAACTACGAAACTGGTGACTAAAAAGTTAAACATGTAAATTAACTGTGAAATTCAACTCCTCAATATAACCAAACATGTTAAATAGAGTATCTATTTCTGTAACCTCCTTTTAATGACAAGTAAACGAGAGAATTAATAATTAATTATAATACAGTGTTTATTCCTAATTCCAATGAAATTTAAAAGTAGACATATATGAATATATTTAAGCAGACGACATAAAATGTAGACCAATAGTACCCTCTTATCGAGTAGTAATCTACATTGTACAATTAAAATTAAAATATTTAATAAAAAGTAAATGAATTTTTAAATAAACTTAAATATTCAGTGATTACTTTCGAACTCATTCTAAAAATCAATTTAAACTACGTTCAGAGAATACCAGTTGTATGATCAACATATTGGAGGGAAAATAAATATAATTCAAAATTATAAACAGAGATGAATCGTGACTAGCAGTGAAATTCAAGACGCGAGTTTCGTCCCATTTCGAGACTCGTCAACTAGGTGTACCTGAATCATAGAGTTGATGTTCACACAAATAACTAGTGTAAAGATGAATAATTTGAAGTTGCCTTGTAAAAATGTTTATTTCTTTTTTTTCTGGTAATAAACTAAGAAAACGAAATTTATACGAATATTCGTCAAGATTAGAACGAATAGTTTGACAGTAATTGAGCGCCGAGTATAGAGAAGTCATTATATGTGAAAATTATATTTGAAATATTCTCAGCGATTGAAATTTAACTAATTCCAACGTTTCGTCCAGCTAAACTTGTCTGGACTTCTTCAGGGTTATTTCAAGTAGAATAATTAATTTACACACATAACATTACAATCCCTTAATGCATATTAGACTATTCTAATTTTTTAAAAATAAAATGAAATCAGAGGTCTATAAACATTGAACTATTATTTCTATGCTTTTTAATTGTGTTTTTTTTCACTTGTACATAAAGAGGTAGGTTAAAGTGGAGTAGAACTAAACTACCCAATAATAACAGTAATAACTCTATCCATTTTCTTATAATAAGATATTTCCATCGAAATGAAATAATGAAAAATAAATTATTTAGATTTTTTTAAATTGAATAACATTTATTAATTCTATGAAGCTTGTTCCATACTACTTTCATAGAGGAAAATATAATATTGTAAAATTGTCAATAAAAACAATGATTTATTTGATGTGAACTAATTTCTAGTCATTAATGATTATTCTGTTCTTAATCTGACTTTGTTTTAGATTTGCAAAAGAGACTAACAGCAAAGAAAATTTAACAAAATGGAGATTTGTGGAGAATTCATCAATCGATCTAAGCTAAGCCACCATTGAAAACCTGGAATCATCAGCTTAGATGAACTTGTGATTTCAACTATCAAAATTACTACAATCTCCACAAAGCCCCAATCCGTATTGGATGGAGAAAGCTATTCACCTCAGACAATGGAGGAAGTGTTGCGCAAAGTCATGAATCTGTTGAAATCAGATACTTTCGACTGACGGCTCAGTGGTTTAGAGGTTAAGCGTATGCGCTTGATGTCGGTGGTTTTGAGATCGAGTCCCACGTGCCGGATCGTGGATGTGCACTGTTGAGGGGCCCCATACTAGAACGAAACGGCCATCTAGTGATTCTAGGTGCTCAATGATGGTCTAGATTAGATAGGCTCATGAATTTAACTGTTAAAACAAAATTTAGAATTCTATGCTGATATATATATAACTTCAGTTAAATGATGATATTGAGAGACTATATTTCATTCTGTACTATAAACAGTGATAAAGTGAAAAACATTCGCCTTTTTCTACTGACCCTTATAACAAATGCAATCATTTACTCACTGGTGATTAACTTCAAAAAGTAATTTCAGGAGTTTTATTGATAAGCCATGACCGGTAGAGTTCAATTACATTGAATGGGAAACAGTTCTTTACCACAAACAATAACAGATACCACAATATTTAAAATTTAAATTGACTTTAGTATATAAACAGAAAAAAACTAACGACAAATGTACATAAACGACAAAATAATGAAAATATATAACAACGAAAATTTAATTGGGACTATTTAGCTGTACATATGCAAGTTGATGTATATAAAAACCAGCTTAGAAAAGAAAAGCACACAAAAAAACGATTTCAACAGTATACAACTAGATTTAAAAAGGAATCACTGGACAATTGTATTCCGTCCCCTTTCATTCATCATCATCACCATCACCACCATCATTAGTATGATAGATACTCATTTTCAGCCTATTGTTTAATTAATCAAACTTTATCGAATTGTATATATGAATGCATATATATATATATATATATATATATATATATATATATATATATATATATATAAATGCCTACACTCTACTTACATAAATAGAGTTGCATGCTTAGAAACGCACGCATTACTAGTCAGTTATCATTGACAATTATCCATAAATGAATATTAAATATAATAATAATAATAACAATAAGTTTAATCGAAATTACTTTCTTCATCAAGTAACTGACTAACTAACCACTGAACTGCATTCGAGACAAATCAACTATCAAATTTTAAATATATACTGAATAGTTGAAATAAAAGGAATGACTACATACTATAATTAATTATATGCATATATTCAAATGATATATATTAACCTATGCTACTCTCTACTCTTGGTTAGACGCCAAAATAAAACAGTAACACAAAAGAACACGGTACAAACAATGATCATAATAAAGAGGGGGTGGTAATGATATTAGAAATATAAAAGGAAAGTATACTTATTCATTGACACAAGAAAATATATTATAGTATAATTTAATTTTCCATGTCAACAAGTACTCATTTTTATGGCACTTTTAATATCAATATTATGACTGGTTTTACTTTATGCATTTTGTTTGGTTGTTGTGTTTTGTTTTTTACATTTGATTATTTGTGCTTTAAATGCGAAAGGGTATTTCTTTTAGTGAATATACTTGGACAAATGAATGAATAGATGTAATGCAATAGTAGGTCTATGGAGAGTAAAACGATTATAAACACATGCATAATCTCTGTCACTCTCTCCCTCCCTGTTCAGCTCTATGTCTAACTTATTCTAATTCTTTCTGTCATTTCTATCTGTTTGAATCATTTTTGCATGAATGGTTGATCTGTATGGACCACTGTGATATATTCATCAACCTTTCAAATAATGACAATAATTAAGAAGGGAAAAATATAGACGAGAAAGATGCAGTTGAAAATGAAGAAGTGGTGGACACGAAATACAAAACGAAGATAAGATAGCATAGAAACAGGTTTCTTTCTCAACTCATTCATCACTCTATCACCCCCTCCCAAAAAATATGGAAAAGAGCCAAATAACATAAAGCAAGTGAACTTATTCATTGAATAATGGAAAATCGAAATGTCAATGTTTAAAATTGACGTTAAATCATTTACGAATAAATAGAATTGAATAAAAACATGCATTTGTTCCATGAATTTGTGTCGGTGTTTTAATAGTGATATTAATAATAATAGCAAAAATAATAAAAGTTCTACTTTTCTTAATGAAAAGTTCGCAAATAAATATGCATATTAAATAAGAACGATCTCTGTTGAACAGTTCAAAACTAGAACAAAACACTACTTATCTTGACACTTTCTAATTTGCAAGATTTCTTCAATTGACATCGGTTTATAGTGGAACAACTGTCCTCGAATATATATATACAGATATAAATTAAACTGATATTATCTATTATCTTGTATTATTATTATTACTATTATTATTTAGTAAAGATAAGCTGTATATTCTGATAGTAAACATATAAGTAATGAAGTTAAATAATTCTTTGTTTAATGTACAACGCTTTCAATCGTTAATAAGAATGAAATAATTTCACGACCAAACCATTCAGTTCAGAGACATGACCAAACCATCCAACTCAGAGAACAAAACTCCACCAAAAACTGTTGAAAATTACTTAGCAATTAAATGGTTCTATAGAGATATTATTACAAGCACGTCAGCTCACCATACATTTTTTTCAAAAATCGACTAGCCGACATAAGTTCTTGACTTAAACCAAACGTTTTTTAATGATCTCAGCTACTGAGTAGAGTTGCTATTTAGCAAATTATTCCTTTTCTAGTGATTGGAAATTTTCTATCCTATTAAAAACCCAGATATATATAAACGAAGAATTTTCTTCGATTAGTTCATATCAGGTTCCCCAGTTAAAAATTCAACTTAATTTTTCCAAAGAGGACCGTCAAGCAACTGATCCATGTTGGTTATATGAACTATTTGCACTAAATAACCTAGGATGGAACTATTTATCATTTTAACTAAATCCTTAATCATTCACACTACTAGGAGGTGCTTACGAGCAAAAAAATACGAATTCCTTGAATATTCGCTCAAAGTAATCATAAGTGAAATATTTTGATAAATTTTCTAACCATGAACTATGAATTGATTTAGTAAGTTATGGTAACACATAATCCATTTGATGCAATAATCAATCATTTGAAAGAAGAAACTTCAAAAAACTCAAACGATTATTGAGA